GGGGCACACTATTAAGGCCTTGGTGCTGGGCTTCCAATTTGGAATTAAGGTATTGACTGAACCGAGTACTTGTATCCGCAGGGTTTTAGTTTCAATTTTTTTTGCCAGCCCTGAATTAATAGCCTAACCTGTTACTTTTCGTCTTGCTTAACTATTTTTTTTTTGTATAATTTCCTTCAGTAGGAAATAATATGTACACAATCACATAAAATTGTTAGTTGCATCCTCATTTTTTCTGATGATTCTTCTGGAGCATAACGTGTATTACCTGCGTGAAGTTATCTGTCCTTGCAATGAGGTAAGAGATGTAAGATCTTAGCATCTACGTAAACTACATCTGTAAATTTGTGACATCCTGCATTCCCACGGAGACTTTTTTCCAAACAGCATAAAAAAGTAACTGCTGTTTTTGCATAATCTGTAATAATCTTTCTTATTCAACTTTTATACTCCTTTAAGCATGTTATACCAGTTTTCAAACTCATATGACAAAAAAATAGCATCCTTGAGGAATTTAGGATCTGGCTTATGCATATCAAAAGGAAGAATAGCCGAGCTGTCAAAAACTATTGCTTAAGATCTTGATATGCACATTGTGATTGCACGATATGAGGTGAACTGTTATCAGAATTAAATATTAGCAAGAAGCTTATTCCTTAACTTCCTTCGCGTCCAGAGATGAAACTATTTTCCCTCGTTTTGTTTTTTAGTTATTTTTCCACATGTGCTAGTACTGTCTTTTGGGCTGTCTTCTGCGCTATATGCTCTAGTTATGTTCGTTGTTTGTTGCTCGTTTGATGGCACTTCGAAATCCGAATCTACCGCAAACAGCAGAGTAAGTTTTGTTTGGATTAGTAAGTTGGAAGTGCTATAGTAAACATCTTTAGAGAGGCTGAAAGGCGGTATCCTATGGCAAAAAAATTCCAGACGTGCTTGCCTACCTCTAATCAAGAAAAGGGTAAATATCTGCTAAATATTGTTATGGGCCAGCGATCAGATATTTCTGAGACCTGATTGCAACTTTCTAATATCCTCCAATTATTTAGGTCACAATTACTGGAGTAATAAACACATTAATGCTAAGTCTGACGCATTACATGCTATATTCATATAACTTGTGAAAGAGTGATGTGTTTTTGTGGAGGATTTTTAATTTTGGCACGTGGCTCTCCAATAACCCGCAGTTAGGTTGACCAATCTATGTTCTATTCATGTAGTTGTATTAAAAGGAACAATGGGGAAGACACAAGTAGAAAATTGTTATTTTCCATCATATGGGTTGGCTATTACCTTAGACTGATCCTATTCTGAAGCTTGTCTGTTTATCTGTTTTAGGTAAAAAGGCGGCTTTAGGGAAAGCTAAATCGAAAAAGTCTGGGGAGACTGGTCCAAGCAAGGAAGAACTGAGGAAGACAATTTGTGAGATCCTGAATAAAGTGGATTTCAACACGGTGGGTTCACGCAACTGCATACTATTGAACTCCATAATTAAAAGTGATTTACATCTTAAAGAGTTGTTAGCACTCTATGTTTTCACGTTACAATGCGCCGCCTTATGCATTTTTGTTAACCGTGCATGTTTTCTATTTCAGGCTACCTTCACCGATATTCTCAAGGAACTTGGTAGGTCCTATTATTCATAATTTTATTTTGTTTCAGAAATTTTGGCTTTTATTCTTACATTTATCGGCCAACCTCAGCGAGCCTTTATGGAATTGATTTGACTCCGAGGAAAGCTTCCATTAAACTAATGATCCAAGAAGAGCTGACCAAACTAGCTGAAGAGGATGAAGATGAGGATGACGAGGAGGAAGAAGAAAGTGATGGCAAATAGGATGTGACTCGCTTTAAGACCTAGGGTACGTGGTCGAAGAACGTGATGGCAAATAGGATGCGACTCGTTTTAAGACCTAGGGTATGTGGTCGAAGATTGGTCCAGTATACGACAAATGGTTTTGAGATCTCTCTTTTTTTCGTTCGAAATGTAGCCCCTAATACAGCATATCTGATACTCCCAGCATTGGGTTACGTAGTTGCAGCAGCATTATCGGTAGCAATTGCTACTATATGAGTTTCCACCAGGCTAGTCCTGACTTTTTTTTGGCCCATAGCTTAGTGCCTAATGTTCTTGTTGTAGCTGTTTAACACAGTTATTAAATCACAAACAATATCATACTACTGTGTAGTACTGTGCTGACCAACTGAATGTAAGCCAAAAGTTTGGCATTTCTTTTTGTTTCTCAGGCGATAGTTACTTGTGTGGAGCCTTTTAAAAGGCAACGTGTTGTTTTGTGTTTGCTAATCAACATGCTTCCTACTTTAACCGACTATGATGCATTTGTTTGTGAAAAGGTTGGGTGATTGTTAGACGTCGTGTTTGAAGTATGGAGCCATTCGTGGAGGGAATGTTTTGTTCATTTGGTGGAAGTTGCTTGTGTTGTCTGGGATTTTTCCGAGTACTAACATACTTGAATGCAGGTAACTACTTATGGACTAGTTACTGAGTTGCCAGTCTATTGTTGTTGCTCGAGTTGGTGAGCAGTAGTTTTAACGTATCCTTTGATATCTCGTAAGGCTAGATTTGCTTGCTACTGCTGGATGCCTACAAAGCCATCTTCATGCGGGCCATAAATTGTTGTATTGAAAGCCATACCATCAACGGTTAACGCGTGGGGCGCTCGGTGTTTCGTACTGCATTTGATTACAAGATGAATCACCTTCTTTCCTCATCAATTTAGGACACTGTAATTGAAAATCAACCTGCTAGGATTTGCAAAAAATCAAGTTGCCGAGATTTGCGAAGTAGGAATCCTGTCAAAGGCTCTGTACAGTGCAGATTCTGATCCATATAGATGACGGATATAGGGGACAGCTTTGACATTTCACCGTCTCCTGCATGGCTCAAATTACCGGATTAGAGTTTTCTGATAAAGATTTCTACTCGGAATTGCATGACATATAATTAGATGCAAGCACTTTCTTTCCCCGGGAAACGGCTAAAAATCATAATAATAAATGGAAATTGTACATTCATCCATGTCATATATGTGAAAAATGCTTGCAACACGTTGATCCATAATATCTGAATATCATTCATGTACCGCTGTTTTATTACCAACACTGTTGTTTTATTATTGCATATAGACCCCTTGGGATCCTTCAAATCTTCTCTCCTCAGATAGACTCACTGGTTCCAACCCGGGACAATATCCCCAAAATTTCACCGAAAGTAAACTGATATATCCGACTTAGTCATAGTAATCTAGTACCCACTTGCACTCTAATAAAAAATACAAATTATAGGACAAATTTTTAATTTAGACCTTTTTAGAAACTTATTTGCAAAAAACGACCTATTTTGGAATTTTTTACCAAATTCGATCCAGTTTCAGGGAACTGGTTGAAACTGGGTCGAATTTGGCGAAAAAACTTAAAAAACTTAAAAAACTTCACGGGACTTGAAGCCCCGTGAAGTTTAAGACCCCATAACCAACTTGATTAGGAGCGCCAAAACTTCCCGGGACTTGGAAGTCCCGTAAAGTTTCAAGCTAAAATTCCCGTGAAGTAGCTTTAACCCTCTTTCTCGAATTCCCCTGCACTGCCCGGCTAACAAACCAGTTTGATATCAAAGAAAATACCTTTTTTCTCACCTGAACCAAGCGGACGGCAAAGGCAGGCCTATTTGCAGGATCACGCATTAGCTCCAGCAAATCTCTTTGTGCGTGAGCACGTCCTCCACTCTCTCCACGTTCACATCCATCGCATATCTAAATAATCAAGAACAATCAATCAATCAATGCAAAAATCCTCAAAAAAACCTCGAGATCAAGAGGGCGGCACTAACTTCGTGGGAAGGCGATTGAAGTGGGCCGAGAGGTCGTTGTCAAATGACGGGCGGCGAAGGACCTCGTTGAAGACGTCGAGCTTGTGTCGGTGGTGCTGCTGCTGCTAGCGGGTGACGTTGTTGCTCAAGAGGAGGGAGGAAGAGTCGACCGCTTTGCTAATGCAACTATCAGTGGAGTCCTCGATCTTCATTGACGATCGAAGATCTCGACCTTGATCTTTAGATTGAGAATGAAGGGGTTTTCTTTCTAGGGTTTTTATTTTATCTTTTCTTTTTTTCCACCCTAACTTATTAAGGGAAAGGGATTTCACGTGAGAGAGGATCAAATCGAAAAGAGGAAAGTGAGGGGAAGCGGAGAAACATACTAAATTTCAGCTTGAAACTTCACGGGACTTGAAGTCCCGTGAAGTTATAAGCTTCAGTTTTGACGCTCCTAATCAAATTGGTTATGAAGGCTTAAACTTCCCGTGAGGTTTCTTAAGTTTTTTCGCCAAATTCGAACTCGAATTTGATAAATATTTTCGAAATAGATCGATTTTGACAAATAAGTTTCTAAGCAGATCGTTTTTAAAATTTTGTCCATACATATAATACAGTACAACCGTATAATTCCACTCACCTGTAAACTTACCATGAAGAACGCAGAATTAGTGAGATTATGCCAACAAAATAAGACCCATCAATCATCAACAATCATATTATACAACATTTGAACTTACACTTGATGCCTCCCCAATCACAGCATCCAGACACTAGGAACCAATATTCTTAACATCATAATCTACACCAATGTCACACATCCCTACTCCTATGTCATATAACAAAAATTACCAAGAATAACTCTAAATTTCATCAAGAGAACAACACAAAGAGACCAACTAAAGGGAGAGATGATACAAAAGAAGAAAAGACATCATATTATATCTGATATAGCACATAATAAACATTATACTCTCCCTTGCCTCCCAATCCCCCCTGAAGATGATGAAGAATTACCACCACCACCTCCTCCTCCTCCTCCTCCTCCACTTCCAAAGCTACCCTGATGTTGATACATCTGCTGCCCCATCATCATCATCCCTCCTCCACCACCACCATCCCTCCCACCTCCCCCTCCATATCCACCCCCGTTGTTCCCCATATTTACAACACCGCCCCCACCCTCCTTCGATTGAGAAGACGAAGAACCTGCAGCATTGCTCCCTTTCTCACCCTCCAATTCTCTGTATTTCTGCAGGTAAACTTTCAGAGGCTCTACATACTCTTCAAACCCTAACGTTGTCATTGCCCATAGAAGATCATCCCCGTTGATCGTCTTCCTTTTCTCCCTCTGGCATTTATCGGAGGCCTCGCCAGTGATGAAGCTGATGAATTCAGAGACACACTCTTGGACTGTTTCCTTGGCGTCCTTCGAGATCTTGGCATTTGCAGGGAGGGCCTTCTTCATGATTCTGCTCACGTTTGCGATCGGGAGGAACCGGTCTTGCTCTCTCGGGGATGAAAAGTCACTGTTCCCTCCAGCATTGTGGCCTCCGGATTCATTATCGGAATCCGCCATGGATTGGAACCTCCTCAACTGTTGGAATTGGTTTTTTTTTTAAAAGTTGGAGCTTACGAGGAATATGGAGATGAGACCTTGAGATCTTTGCGCAAATTTCAAGGATTAGGAACAAATAAAGCCATCTATTGAGGTTTTACAGTTGAAACTAAATATAATCAGGCACTTAAAGATTAGGGTATGCAAGGGTAAAAGAGAACGGTATTCTAAGGACAAAATCAACAAAGAACCCAACTTTACTGAGATTCCAGCAACATTTTGATTTTTGATACTTCAAATAAAACCCAGTCAAGAACTGCGCAGCCGCTCTTAGGGTTCCAACGGAACAGGCTTGTAGAAGAATCTGTTCCCTATACCATATCCAATCATCAAAAGATCCGACCTTTATACAAAATTTAGCAAGATTCACAGGAGCAAAACAAAACCCAGGTAGGAACTTGAAAGTTCCCAAGGCGTTTACAGAAACAGCCAATCACGAGTACTTAGGGTTTCAACGACCACAGGAGAGCATCAATTCGAGAATTAAAAAATCCAAAAATTTTACCTCAATCAGAGTTCCCGAAAACAGTATCAACTAGGGTTTTCCATCTCAATCCCTCTCTCTCTCTATCAATTGATAATCCAGAAGAAAAAAAAAATGCGGATAAAAAAAATTAGGGTCTGAGCTGGGAGGAGGAAGAAGAGGGGAGAGGGGATGGGGGGCGAGTTCGTAGGATAAGAGTGTCCTAATATGGGAGAAGAGTGACGCGTGGAGGAATTTGGGCCTTTTGTTATATCGATAAGTATGGGCCATGTGGCTCATTTTGGACCGTTGATTCTGTAGGTGCCGACGACAATGATTTGCTGTAGACTGTAGTTGATGGGAGTGGGACCCGCGTCCTCCTGTAGCCGGTAACTACATAATTGCTTTCTTAATTCTTATATACCCCTTTTCAAAAACAAAATTTCTTATATACTCCTGCTTTATTAACTTCTGATTACCTTATGTAAATCAGGGCAAATTACACTTACATACTCTATTGTTTGTCCAATGTCGAACCTAAATACCCTCACTTGTAAATAGCTCCACATAAATATATTTCTAAATGTTGCACTTTAGTACTTTCGATTATGCATACGTGAGAAATTCTCCCCGAAATTCCCATGCGACATTCACATACTATTCTCAAAATATTTCAGCTCTTATTTTTGTCAAACCTATTATTGAACCAATCAAAATTCTATTTTAAACCTACCTTAATGCTATCTTAAAAAATAACTTTGATAGAGCATCTTTCATTTTCAACTTCCCTTCCAACTGCCCAATCCTAATAATAGATTTAACATAAACATAAGGGCTGAAATATTCTAAAAATAGCATGTGAGTGTCGCGTGAGAAAATTCTCAGATTGCATAGCTACGGGTACTAAAGCACAACTTTTAGAAACTTTAAGGTATTTAAGTGTAGCCGTTTACACCTGAAGGTATTGTATGCAACGTAAGGTAAACAATAGAGTATTCAAGTATAATTTACCCTGAATCATATAGTGACTAAGAACAGGCTTATACTTATATATCCACATTTATTTTAATCAAAATTAAAAAAACTGCTTAGGAACTCGTAGTTAGCAAGATTCAAACCTAGCTGCTCTTATACCACGTCGAAGGGCCGGGTTGTTGTTTAACGCTCTGAAATTATGATGAGGATTAGGAGTTATAATTAATATTCTAACGATTGTTCGTATTCATGAAATACATGCCTTGCTTGTTCTAAATTTATATCATATATAGCACATAGGGTCCCTGCGCTCAAGAAGGAAAAAAAAAAAGCAACAACAACAGCGCGCATGTTTGCACTTATCCGAGAGCTTATGATCAATAGAGAGATCGACCTCATAAAACCCTTCTGATCAATTTCAGATACAAGCTTTTTCGGTTGGAAATCTTAAGGCAATTAATAGTGAGTGACACGGGTCGGAGGACAAGAATCACGTTTACGTGTACTTTTTGCCCAACCGTACCTCATGCTCATTTTTCTGTTCGCCCAAATGGTACGTGCTCATGCTTTTATATATATGTGATGAGGCATGTGCTAATCTTTAGAATTGTCCACGCTTATAAAAACGAGACATGCTCTCCTCGCTAGGTTACATAACTGTAGCCTGCGTGGTTTAGTTTTCTTCTCTCTGAGGCCAGGGAATAAGAAAGATATAGTAATTATGGAGCTCTCTCAGCTTTACCTTGATTAATTAACTGTGAGTGGTAGAGAAGAGAAGAGGCCACCATGGGGCATTACGAAAGGTATTTTGTTTATGAAGAGGTCTAGCTAGCGAGGGAGATCAATTTTCATGGACCTATCTTATATTCAAGGGTTAATTGTGGATAAACTCCACTTAGTTATATTTGTGCCTGTAGACCCACTATTGAAGGTTTTTTTTTTTTTTTTTTTTTTTTTTTTTTCAATTTTTTTTTTTTTTTTTTTTTTTTGGTTAATTGTGGATAAACTCCACTTAGTTATATTTGTGCCTGTAGACCCACTATTGAGAGGTTTTTTTTTTTTTTTTTTTTTTTGCTCTTTCAAGAGGTAAAATGTAAATCAACTATGAGGGTCTATCCGCATTTGGTCAATAGTACGGATTATCTATTTACATCAATAGAACTGCAATGGGGTCTATCAACATTTGGGCAATAATATATAGGGGTCAATTGACACCACGTTTAGTTAGTAAGTTTGACATAGGTATTTGTGTTGACAATGATACCTTTTGTTGCTTTAGGCTTTTGGGCAACGACGACTACTTGTTGGTGCATCCATTCATGGGGTGGATAATCAAAGCATAAAAATAGGATTCGGATCATTTCCAATAAGGTGATAATGAGAGAGGATTCAATTATCCTAATCCTCAGATTTTACTTCAATTTTAAGCGCTGAGATGAAGCCATGTAGGATGTTGTCATTATCTTGAAAGCCATTATTGCCTTCAGAACCACTATTGTTGAAAATAATATTTGCGATATTAATTGAAAGTTCTATGTGCCTTCATCTAAATTTTTAAATTGAAATAGAAGACAAAGATGTAAATTAATTGGACACTCTCTAATTACCATCTAATTGGAGAGGATTCCGATTTAGAAAAATGATGATTGACAATAGGCAAATGTTCATTGCTAAAGTTCACAATTAAGATATTTAGTAAGGTTAAATTTCTAATCTTTTATAAGTAATTAGAATGGGATAATACCAGTTTTGGGCTTTAATTATAGTTGAGAGTGTGCCATTATTGCTTGAAAATTTATGAGAATCAAAAAATTTATGTGCAAAATGATTCTCCTTTTGACTATCGAGAGAAAGATGTGCAAATTTGTCGTTTACTTCATAGTGCTTTTTCCATTAATTTTTCTTGTGCTCCATAGCTTTTGATTGTTGGGGAAGTGGTGGACACAAGATTAAAGAATAAACTTGGAACAACATGAATTTTCTCCCATATTTGCACAACAGCTAGTTGGAATTTCACTTTATTCTTTCAAAAATATCTTAAAATATAGCTTATTCTAAGCAAAGCTTGTTATATATTATATATATATTGCCTAATTGCGTTTATTGAAACCTTAAAACTCTCAAGTCTAGTTACTAACATGAGCATAGTAATTGAGCAGAGATAAACCAAGAGTGATGTCAGTCTGATCACGATTAATGCAAAATTTTATATGTCACACAATATTCAACCACAAAAGTACAAAAAATCATACTTTACAAATCAAAGAACCATAACTAAAAATACACAGAAAAACAAGAAGAAGAAGAAGAAGAAGAACAGACTCAAGCAAATAGACAGCAAATGGCAACTTGACATTAATATAATTGATGTTAGCCAAGCTGATTAGGGTTAATAAAGCATATGTAACAGCACCTCTACTTGAAGATGAATGCACATAAGAATTATTACCTCGTTTTGTAAGCGGGAATCAAGAAAAGGGAGAATGGACTAAAGAAAATAATTGAACGAAATTAATGTGGGAATGAAATGCTCGTTTTTTCTCACGTTTGAGTGCAATGTAGAGAATAAGTGGGAATGGACAGCGTTGGAAGTTTTGTAATTTTTTTTTATTCCCACGTAAGAGGTAATGCCCATTCTATTAGGATAATGTCCGTGTTGTGCGCAGTGGAAATTTCGGCAGCACCTCCGATGCGTAAGATGCACAACAAGAGATTAGATCACAACGAAATTCTCGTTCACAAAAGAAACAAGAATCGAAAGCAAAATATCTCAACAAAGTGAGATATCAGCTCTTCCTCTCATCAGTTCTAGGACTGACTTGTCGATGGAACCTACAAGCTATTACAAATCACAACAAGATCGATAAACTATTTTTACGTGGTTCGGCAAATAGCAGGGGGGGGGGGGGGATCTACTATTAGAGGGATAGAATACAACTAGGATTTACAATCTCTCAACCTAAACCCTCAAACAATCTCTCAAATCCCTCATAATCTCTCTCTCAAAAGGATGCTCAAAACCCTAACAAAGGATACACAAACTCTGTTGTTTTCACCGAGCCCAGCCGCAAGAGAACCCTATAATTTTTCCTTGCCTTGCACTGCCACCTTTCTCACCTCTGCGGTTTTTTTTCCTGCAAGCCGCCTTTTTTTCACCCTTTGCACCCTAACCTAGGGCATCTATTCGACAACTATATATAGCTGAAAGTACTCGGGTTGTCGGGTTGTGGGCCGCTTATTCATGCGGAAAGAAGAGTCACGCGCACTCTGTGTGGCCCCCATCTCACAATTCTCCACCTCGGTGAAGTTTTCCTAAAAAACTAAGCCGACACTAAATCAAACAAATGTCCCACTTGTTGTGTCCAGTACGCCGTGAAGTTAATTCACGACAACGGACTCAATTCAATACAAGTCGGGAATCCGAACGAGAGTCCAAACAGTCTCACCCCCATCTAAATTAACTAATCTAAAATGGCTGCATCGTAAAGACTGCCTACGTATCCTCTTACCCAAGGAATCAAGCCTCACGTAGTTCACCTAATGGCCTCCAAAGGCCTCAACACCGAAGAATGTTCAAAAGCTCCAAACAATGACCAAACTTCACACCTGAAACAACTTTGGTCAACATATCTGCATGGTTGTCTTTCGTGTGGACCTTCTCCAATATGACGTCTCCATTATCCAAAATGTCTTGAACAAAGTAGAATCCGACATCGATGTGCTTTGTGCGTGCATGATAAACCTGGTTCTTCACCAAATAGATAGCGAACATGCTATCACAATATACCCGAAAGGTCTCCTGTGCAATCCCCAAGTTCTCCAATAATCTGCGTAATCACAAAGCTTCCTTGACAGCTTCAGTCACCGTTATATGCTTCGCCTCTGTAGTAGAGAGAGCCACTATAGACTGAAGTGTACATCTCCAACATACAGGTGCACCTGCCAATGTAAAAGCATAACTTGAAGTGGACCGGTGCTTGTCAAGGTCCCCCTCGTAATCTTAATCCACGTAACCAATACAATCCTGCCCTGTCTTCACATTCTTCTGAAAAATCAATCCAACATCCACGGTACCTTTTATATATCGTAAAATCTACTTTACGGTCTCCCAATGACCCTTTCCGGGGTTGTGCATGTACCTCGATACCATGCTCACAGCCTGTAATAAATCTGGTCTCGTACACACCATAGCATACATCAAGCTACCTACTACACTGGCATATAGGATCTTTG